TGAATTTCTCCGACACGAGATCATGGATTTTGGGTCATTTAATTACTGAAAATGGAGTTAAGCCTGATCCAAAGAAGGTAGTAGCTGTAAAAAACTTCCCAGTACCAAAATCGCCTTCTAAAATTAAGTCTTTTCTTGGATTAGCCGATTATTATAAACGGTTTATTAAAGATTTTAGCAAACTTTGCCAATCGCTGACCAAATTACTAAGAAAGAACAGAAGTCAGCAGCAGGAATCGTTTGAAATTTTAAACAATACACTTTGTAAGTAGTTGATATTGCTGATAGACCTGAGATTACTTGGCTATCAGCAACACCAAAATTACCTGTAATATATATAAACTTATTCACACTTATACATGCATATGTACAAAAAGGAAGATAGACATGACTGTATATAACAACCAAAGTATATTACGTATATTAAAATGGATATATGTCCCTAAGACAAGTAACACCTTTAAATTAAAACACATCATCTTTACTACTACTACAACTACGATATTAAATCAATTTTGGAGTAGGTTATTGTTGCATGCCTTTGTTTTTAGATACCAGGAGATATTCAAAACTCAATATTAACAAAAATTAAGGAAACACACTTTACAAATCACGTTCAACCATACATTATGGTTGTTGGTTCTACATTATCAAACATTTCTGAATCCTACCTAGTAATTGATACTTTTATATATCTGGAAACCTCTGTTTTACAGTGTTTAAAAGCCTTCCACGGAATACCCTGCTGAATCAGAGCATATATGGTTGTTACTTCAACACCATATTTATAAAATAACTACTCAGTGGGATAAAAAGATACCATAAGGGTATACATTACTGAGTGAACTATCACACAACAATAAAAATGAAATTGTTGAATTGATCATCAAAAATAATGATTTTATGCCCATTTTGTTCAGTTCAATTTGATAAAATTTTCAAACTTTCTACCTATTTAAAAATAAAGCACAGATTTTGTAAAACATTTTCCTGCGAACAGGCTACTTGTTTTCTGACTTTTCAAACTGTATATAGCGAGCGTGTTTGTGTGCGATCGGGCATACTGTGTCTTTGTGGCTTATCGATTCGCCGACTAGCCGCGGGCGCCTTTCTTCATGTGCGCCGTATTTGTAAATGTGTGTGTCGTACCTGCGTTCTGAGAAAGCAATTAAACAGTTCAAAGAAAAAGAAACTTTTCCGGACGGCTCGAGAAGGTTCCCGAAAGGAAGAAGGGAGTATTTAAAGGAAGAGGCGATCGCCGAAAAGAGTAGAAATAAATTGACCGTTGCAGAAGTGAATCTAGAAATAAATTGACAGCGCAGTGAATAGTGATATATCAACAGTACTGTAAATAAATACAGTAATCCATCACCCAAGTTAGTAATAATTTAATAGTGTTTTGAAGTTCTTTAATAATTTGTGTAAATAAATGGTTTTTGTCGTTGTGAGTCTTAAGAGTTAGTTTTGTTAAACCCACGAACATTACAATACTTACAAAGTTCACTTCCTGCGAAAACATAAAAATGATTTTAAAACTCGTGTTGAATACTCGTAATCAGAAAACAAAGATAAGTGTAACAGTTCTCAGTTTGAAGTTTCTTCTATATACGATGAACCTATTAATTTCAAACCTGAGCACAAAGAAGACATTACTTTCGAGTGTTTTTATGAATGTATTGTTAGATACCAACTCAATTTGTGTTCACCCTGTATAGCAACTTTAATAATCATTATCTTGGGAATATTAAATATTAAGCTAAAATTAAGTAAACATAAGCAAACATCGATTTCCGTTAGAGACAACAACATTTATTCTTCTTGTTTATATTCATTTAAGAAATAATGTGTAACTTCGATATTTCTTGTAATATTTAACTTTTGATAATTAGTGAAATTTAGAGACTTTTGATCATGACGTCTAGAGAATGGTAAACTAAAACCGGTATAAAACCTCCGTCTTATCAGTTATAGTAGTTAGTNCAATTTGTGCATTTCCTCAAATCGATCATCAGTGAAAGCTTCATTCAATCGCTTAGGTAAATATATGATATTATCTTCAGTTTCAGCAACAATGACCTCACCGTGACGAGTTTTTTTTCGTAACAAGCATACAATTGGATATGGTTTATCTATAACCATATCTTTTACATGTAGAATTGGTTTCGCTAGTTCACATAACCCGACCTTGTTGATAAATTCCAAAGAAGCATTACCTTCATTAGATGATGATGATGACATAATTAAAAAACTAATTATAGTACTTGTTCAATAGCACAATAAGAAAAGAGTGCAGAAACACACATACGCACACAGTACCTACTACGTACAACTATTGTAATAACAAAAAAAAACATCGCTTGTCCTATTTATACTTAAAATTTCAACATACACTCCTTTGTTTTTACTTATTTTTTTCTAGAACATTCCTGATTACTAATTGATATTAGTATTTTTTATATATATTTATTTTTTTTACTTTCTTCTAGAACATTCTGGTTCCTAATTCACTATCATTAGTATTTTCAACCTTGTTATGTATTACATATTTCTTGAAGCCGACCTCTAAACAATGTGCTATATAATATACATTTTATATGCTATATAGATAAGCACATAACAGTGCGTGTGTGTTATTACTTTTAAGAATTTGCGTATAATTCTATTGTCCCACGGTACTTAATGAATAATGTATACAAATTACAAATAATGAGAGTGACAATTTTAGCAGAAAGAATTGCTATTATTAACAATAGATAATAATTTATATTCCACGAGAAATCAACTGGTACCGGTAAACATTTCTGGGGTGTAATTTCTGATGCAAGATGAATCCACTGAGTGTCTGCATAGGTTCCATTTTTTAGAAAGTAGCGTATCTGAACGTTATTTCCTAAAACTTGTTTGTCTTCAAACGCATAAAAGTTGTACAAATCATACGATGGGGAAACTCTACTCCAATTATTTGGCCAGGGGCAAGGCATTAATTGAGCACTACTGTTTTGAAAACAAGTGAATGCATATAGAGCATCGCATGGTCTTGAAATAAATAAAGACCCATTATAAATTGTAGCAATAGCTGTAATGGTTATTAATGCAACCATGTTTTCGTTTTAATGTACAAAATATGACTGATCTGTAACTTGTTAATTTGTTTGTTTTATTAAAAAACATATTCTCCTTCTTTCTCTTTCTTTTATGTCTCTCTCTCTCTATAATCCTTGTTCACAATAGCTATTTCGTTGAAAGAAAGGAACCATTGAAAATAAATCGGAAAAGTGTGTTGTCACCCACCCCTGTAGGTATCCATTAGAGGTAAGTTTAAATTTTGTTCTTACTACAGATAGTATTACAATTGCACACTAAAAGTATTAATTGCTGTTATCAGCAAGTCTTGCATTATGAATTCGAAATCGATGACAAACATCTTGAGCACTGTAAAAAGCATTAATTATTGCTATCAACAAGTTTCACATGAAGAATTCATACATCGATGGTAAAAGGTAATTCATTAATCTAATAATGCATTTTTCGGTAACACATTAATGGTAGTTATCAACAAGTCTCATATTAATAATTCGTATATCGATGATAAACATGCTGCTCATATGCATATAACAACGCAATTTTTAAACAACAGCTCAGATTTTAATTTGACATTAGTCTGTATTTGTATAAAATAATTAAAAAAGAAAAAATGCCGGGCATCCTCATGTGTAATGAAGAGCTGCAGGATGCTGCAATTTTGTATCAATTTTTGCCAATTCAATTACAAGTAAGTTTTATTTTATTTTACTGCATGCTTTAAAAATATTTCATTATGAAAACTTTTAAATTTAGCATTTATGTGATTAATGAAAATTTAACTTCACTTTACTTTATTTTGCTGTATGCTTTAAAAATATTTTACTGCATGCTTAAAAATATTTTATTATCAAGAATTTTAAATACAAAAACGTTTTGTTTCAGAATATGCCACTCTTCGTTTTGGAGTCGGCATTGGCACCTCCTTGTCCCCCATTCTCGTTTTTGGGGGGCAGGGTGGGTTATGATTACTACTACAAACTTCAAGGACCAATACTAGTTCTACAAAGTGTAAGTAACATATTATCTCATTTTTCACAAATGCAACATTGATCAGTATTTATTTTACTTACAGACCATTATTGCAGTGCAGGTAGTTTGGAAAACGTAAGTAAATTACTTCATTTCATTAATTAAAAAATTAAAAGAAATACTCACCCCTAATTACCACAAATAATTTTATATGAGCGGACACGTGTTTCGTTCACCTCACACGTGGGCATGATCAACGCGAGACTGATATGATAAGCAAGTACTTTTCATTTTGTTTTTTTATCGCTTTCGATGGTGTCATATTTATTGTTCTATGTATGGTACCGTTGTATTCATTGACAACGTCATCAATTACGTCTATCCACCGATATGAACCTCTATAATGAAGTGCTTTAAATAATTTAGTTTTGATANTTGTAAATGTGTGTGTCGTACCTGCGTTCTGAGAAAGCAATTAAACAGTTCAAAGAAAAAGAAACTTTTCCGGACGGCTCGAGAAGGTTCCCGAAAGGAAGAAGGGAGTATTTAAAGGAAGAGGCGATCGCCGAAAAGAGTAGAAATAAATTGACCGTTGCAGAAGTGAATCTAGAAATAAATTGACAGCGCAGTGAATAGTGATATATCAACAGTACTGTAAATAAATACAGTAATCCATCACCCAAGTTAGTAATAATTTAATAGTGTTTTGAAGTTCTTTAATAATTTGTGTAAATAAATGGTTTTTGTCGTTGTGAGTCTTAAGAGTTAGTTTTGTTAAACCCACGAACATTACAATACTTACAAAGTTCACTTCCTGCGAAAACATAAAAATGATTTTAAAACTCGTGTTGAATACTCGTAATCAGAAAACAAAGATAAGTGTAACAGTTCTCAGTACGAACAAGTTTCTTCTATATACGATGAACCTATTAATTTCAAACCTGAGCACAAAGAAGACATTACTTTCGAGTGTTTTTATAAATGTATTGCATCGTCTTCAGTTTCCTTTGTGTCAAAACTTTATAGTAGATACTCTGTTAACAGAAATGCAGTTCATAACATTATTCAAGACGTTACTTCGATGATTTGCGAACCTTTAAGTATGTTAGAAAATAAAGTAACCTCCAATGTTGACAATTTAGAAGTAAAAGAAGAAATTAAAAAAATGATCAGTTGTTTTCAGAACATGTTTAGTAATTTACGTACAGAATGGAAACGTTTTGATTTTTTTAAGCGCAGTAGTGCATTTATCCCAGTAGAAAGTTTGCTTATTGGAACAAGAGAAAACGATAAGAGAATAAAACAAAGAACCATATTAGATATAGTAGAGTCCCATATTCAGTATGTTCCTATAGAAAAAACGTTGCAAGCATTTCTTCAAATTCCGAATGTTTTTCGAACAATTTCATGTTTTATTTCTAATCTTTCTAATGTAGGTAGCATTTGTAATATAATGCAAAGTGCATTATGGGCCGACATGAAACATAATGAGGAAAATAAGTTAATTTTGCCTATATTCATTTATTTTGATGAATTTGAAATAAATAATCCATTAGGATCACATGCTGGTATTTACAAAATTGGAGCCACCTATTTTGTTTTGGGCTGTTTACCGCCGCAGTTTGCATCACAACTAGAAAATATATTCTTGCTTCAGTTGCATTACTCCGAGGATAGAAAAACTTTCGGAAATTCTGTTATCTTCGCTAAAATTATAGAGAGTTGTAGGCAATTAGAAGAACATGGAATTAATATTTCAACAGAAAGCGGTGATGTTCATGTATGGTTCTCGGTAGCATTTGTATTAGGAGATAATTTGGGTGTTAATGCAATAATGGGTTTAACTGAAAGTTTTTCTGCAACTAACTTCTGTAGATTTTGTTATGCAACTAAACATTTGACACAAACTCAGTTAAGAGAGGACGAATCATTGATACGGACCAGAGAAAAATATACGTCTGATGTTAAAACATTATCAAATGGCATTAAAGAAAATTGTATATGGAACAGTTTGTCTAATTTTCATATTACTTCTAACATGACCTGTGATGTTATGCACGACATCTATGAAGGNAAAAAATAAAAGGAGACCAACAGGTAGTAGTATCAAAAGAATCCACATTTCAGCTATCTGGAAGGGTTGTACTCAAACCTGAAGTATGCTCCGCTACTATCTGTCCTCCAGCAGAGGGTAGGAGCTGATGTTGGAGAAGTCCTATCAGTCGTAATAGGAACAAGGGGGACAATACCCAAGGAAACGGTCGAAGCTCGTAAAAAACTACGTATCAACGACCGCAAAACGCTTATCACCATTTCCGTCGAAATGTATCACACCTTCATTGACTACGATGTCCGAATCGCACCGGCATCAATTAGCTGGGACCGGGCCGGAAACTTCTGTCCAATTAGCTAACTGGTATTTTAGATTTTAATTTGTGATTGCCTTTATGTACATCTGTGGTTGTTTTTAATTAATTATTGTTATTTATTATTTTAATCATTGACCCTCCTCAGGCTAAACCCTATATATTTATAAAGTTAGTGCGGTCATGAATCTTACAATAAACAGTCAACGAAGTATAACGTGTTTGTTTACTTAAGTAAATGTTGCCGTAGGCTAACTCATCCGTGGAATAAACAAAGTTAATATAACTTAAATAGGTGTTCTATTCTTATTTTAATCACCATAAACTGATAAATTTACGTGTTCATCGTAATCAATTGAACCAAGAACTAAACTATTGTTGCGTGTGTGCTGAAGCAAGTCTGAAGACGTCTAAAATCATCTCTCAATCTTCCGTACGTAACAAAATTTGGCGACGAAGACAAGAGATCATAAAATCAACACCACGTCTGCGGAAACAAAGCAATCAGCCCGAGAATCAGAAGCTGAGGAAAACAGGACCTGCAGAGCTTCGCCGAAGCGCACTTCAATACACCACATCTGGACAGCTGTTACGCTACTAACACAGTGTCAGTAGTCGTAAATATTATCCCAACCTAAGTTTGACGGTGGTATAAATTCGGTAAAATACGATACTTTTAAGAAAACGGTAACTGGGTTACAAAGTAAATGCTCGGGAGAACAAAAGCAAATCTTAGATACAATTATTTTTAGTAAGCTTAAAGGTAACGCCTTAAAAGCTGTTATTAATTGATTGCTTCATAATGTCGATGATTTAATTTTCGTTTTTGACTCCTTATATATAGCTGAAAAATCTTCCGAACATGCCATTTGGGAGATGTTCACCTTAAGTAACAACAACTTTAAATCTGTAAGAGAATTATATTATAGAATCGCCCCGCTTAGAGACTTAGTTTTAAGTACAACCGTTTCGCAAACTAAACCAAAAGAGACTAAAGAAGTAATTTCAAAGAACTTAGGTCGTTTTATTAGGAAATTAAGCCCGGAAATATCTAACTTAGCCTTGCAAAATCAATCAGAAAATTTACAGTCAGCTTTCGATCACTGTCTGCAATTTAAGCAGATAATAAAATTACTAATCATACTCTATAGGTTTCTCGTTATATACCATGTTTAATTTTAGTCCTTAGGCACCGTTTTTACTTCTTTGTTTACTAATCACGTATCTTGATAATCTTGTATTAGGTGTTAGTAAATGAGTTCGAAATAATGACTGTATTATTTCGGCATATTTAAAAGATCTCCTCACTCTTATTCGTTTTTTTTTTAAGTCGTGTTTTTTGTAACCGGTAGGTGCTCTTTTGAATATTAATTTAAATAAACCGGGTGTTCCACGGAAGAGGACATTCTTTATTTTTACCTTACTGTCATCATCAATTACCAATCCACTATCTCCCATAGTCAATTTATTAACTGCATGATTGAAATTAATATCGTACGTGGTGTCGAATTCATTCAAACTATCTTTTAAAAATACCTCTTGCTAATGGCGGATACTGATTCAAATATTTCGATAAATCAGCAGCCCCACTGTTTGCGTTATTTGCTGGAGATAATGTACTACACCCTTGCATTATTACGTCGGAACAATTTTTGAAAGAAATAACCAAAACTCTTCCGTCCCTTCCTTCCTTAGCAAAATACCCTTTACCTATAAGTATCGAAAACGTATATATTCCGAATGTTCTTCGAACAATTTCATATTTTATTTCTAATCTTTCTAATGTAGGTAGCATTTGGGCCGACTTGAAACGTAATGAGGAAAATAAGTTAATTTTGCCTATATTCATTTATTTTGATGAATTTGAAATAAATAATCCATTAGGATCACATGCTGGTATTTACAAAATTGGAGCCACCTATTTTGTTTTGGGCTGTTTACCGCCGCAGTTTGCTTCACAGTTAGAAAATATATTCTTGCTTCAATTGCATTACTCCAAGCACAGAGAAACTTTCGGAAATTGTGTTATCTTCGCTAAAATTATAGAGAGTTGTAGGCAATTAGAAGAACATGGAATTAATATTTCAACAGAAAGCGGTGATGTTCATGTATGGTTCTCGGTAGCATTTGTATTAGGAGATAATTTGGGTGTTAATGCAATTATGGGTTTAACTGAAAGTTTTTTTGCAACTAACTTCTGTAGATTTTGTTATGCAACTAAACATTTGACACAGCTCGTTTCATTGATTTATTATTAAAGAATCTGAAATCTTACATATAAATACTTCTCTCTCTCTCCACTTCTTAAACTCTTTTCCAAGTTTTAGCAAGTTCTGCGAGTGGTAAGTCGTTTTCCCCATCTTTGCATGTAACTTTAAATCCATTTTTCATGAAGCAGATTGCAATGGTCCTTTCAATGACTAAATTCCAAGCTTTGGCAATCATCCACATGGCTTGTAAAACGTCAATTGTAGTTGACGTTTGGGGTTCAACGTCAGCAACAAATCGTCTGATAACTTCCTATAATGGGCGACGTATATTCCCTAATAAATGTTCAATGCAATCTTGATTAAGTCTTACGGCCAGTAAATAGTGTACGTTTTCGGCTAAAAGATCTTTTGCGAGCGGTATTACAGAATTTAACGATAATTTTAAACCTACGAAACAAGGTTGTGATTCACGACTAGTGTCGTATACTCTCTCTCTTGTATATATATATATATNTGTAATTTTATTAAAATTTACTGTTGATGACATTGGTCCACCACCACCGGCAATATCCGTAGAGCATTTTGACTGACCGAATTTGTTTACGCTCATTCTAGCATTGGTTTTAACCTACTACTGTATGTCAAATACAAAGCAGGGTAATTTATTCGTTTTAAATAATCAACCCCGCCTCCCTCAATTCAGAAATTATCGACGCTATTTCATTTGTATGAGAATGATTGCCGGCTGCTTCCGAAGCTAAAAGCAACCTCAGTCGGTCAACTATTTCATTAATGTCGTCAAAATAAACATACTCGATAGGTTTCTCGTTATATACCATGTTTAATTTTAGTCCTTTGGCACTGTTTTTACTTCTTTGTTTACTAGACAGGTATCTTGGTAATCTTGTATGAGTTCGAAATAGTGGCTGTATTATTTCGGTATATTTAAAAGATCTCCCCGCTTTTATTCGTTTTTTTGGGCTAAAATCACGTCGATGCGCGTTTGTTAATTCTAATATCTCTTTATAATTTTTTAAGTCATGTTTTTTGTAACCGGTAGGTGTTCTTTTGAATATTAATTCAAATAAACCTGGTGTTCCACGGAATAGAACATTCTTTATTTTTATGTTACTGTCATCATCAATTACCAATTCGCTATCTCCCATAGTCAATTTATTAATTGCATGATTGAAATTAATGCCGTACGTGGTGTCGAATTCATTCAAACTATCTTTTAAAAATAATAAAACCACAGATTTAAAAATATTGCCTTTTCAAATTAACAGTCTGGATAGAGAATCTTTAGATACTGCCTGTGTAAAACTCAATCAGATAAACGATAATGCTGATAAAATAACGTCAAAAACTTTTGTGGAAAGAATTGAACCGACAAATTATATTGTTATTATAAGACTTAGAAAAAGGTGTTTTAAGAATAATAGACACAATCATGGAACTTCGACATGTACCAGTTTAACCAATTGTCTTACATCCAATCTTTACAAAAGAAAAACAAGTAGGCATGCTAGTTTTGAAGTAGAATTGAATAAAATGGGTACTGCGGAGGCTTGTTCTTCTAACGAATCAGAAACTCCATTAAGGAGAACTGCTCGCATTGCGAAATTGAAGGATTATACCTAATCATAACCCTTCAATTTCCCTAAGGGAGGAGGTGTAATGTACCTACCGATTAGTTGATAAGAAATTATTTTACTTTTATATTTTAATGCATATTTTAATATTCAGTGTATTAAGAATCTGGAGATTAATAATAATAACAACCAATGATTTTGAATAAACTTCAGTACTGAACGTGGTAGCTTATTTCAAATCCCCATTACTCCAAAAATACTAATAGTAATCATTATTAAAATTGAAACTTTAATTCTGAATAGTTACTATTTAAGTGGTGTTTCACTTCGAGTTATCGGTCTCGCCAATAAACTGTGTCTAAGTCTATTGACTTTGTGAGAGAAACTATTTAGTTCGTTTCCAAATTTATTTTGAACTATAACGATTACGGACTTAACAATTGGCGCAGTCAGTAGGATTCACACATTTTCGTGAGTCCAAGAATCAGCAGAAGAAGAAAAGCTGTGGCATCGAAGAAGATTCTGCAAGCAGAAATCAGCTCCTGATACTCCTTGCTCAGGGAAATCATCTCCAAAGAGGAAGCAGTCCACGTGAAAAGTTGACTACGAGGATATCAAACCAATCCGTCAAATCTTCACGTCCAGAAGGCCGCTCCTTTTCAACCCAAATCGCACGAGTCGAGGGCATCGTGGGTAAACAAGGATCCTTTCGAAAAACTCTTCGGGAATTAGGCAGGAATAGTAAAAGTTGGTGAAATTTTAACCTCTTGACGAGTTTCCTATTTCTATCTCTTACCCCTGTCCCTTTAATTTGAATGAATTCGTTTGTTCTTGTTAAACTAGTTAGTCAAAATTGCGTTGCTAAATTTATTTAAGACTGAACAAGATTCAGACAATTTAGAAGATTCTCTAGAA